TGCTCACCTGATGTAGGGCTATCGGTGAGTTTTTCTGCGGACTCGATCGTAACTGATGAATGAGCCTGAAATGAAACGAGACGCAAATGAGTTAGTTTGTGATTTGGACTGAAAAAAGCACTCTCAATGGATTGAGGCAATCAGATGGTTTTGTGAGGAAACCTCAGTGTGAGCTGAATGTCAAAAGTCCAACTTTTACTCGCGGGACGCTTTAAGTGTTCACTAGGCCAGGTGGAAATTACAATGAATAAGGAGAGCAGTTCAGAAAAGAAGACGCTACAAGAAATTCAAAGTTGCTCAGACATGCTTATGAAATTCATTAAACTAAGTTTGAAAATGGCTGCGTATTGCAGCTGTCGCGACTGTCGAGTATTTGGGATAAAACTCTTTTGGCGACAACCACGCTGTGTCCCCGTTGATCTGCGAACAGTTTCCTCTTGGTTCTCTCATCCAACTAAGTTTTGCGTGCGAAGTTTTACAGTGGAGCAATCTTAGCTTACTGGCGCGTTGCCTTTGAGAACAGGGTTGCCTCCAGATATAAAAAAAGACTTCACGAGTGAGTCAGAGTTATACCGCCACGCCAGCATTCGCTATCCATTTTCTACGAACCCTTTAAGAAACATAAGTCGCAGTGGCCTAGGCCTCCGTGTGACGGATTTTAAAGACTGGCGACCCCTTTCAATGAAGAGTGGCGTACTGTAGCAACAACGGCCGGTCCAACTGCCCTCCGCAAATCGGGAAGTACAGGGTGGCGAAAAATTACGTGCGCCAAGGAAATATCCTGACTTTATTTTTTGTTCATAGACAAAGAAAGACAACACTGTTGTGACTCTGCTTCCAGAGCACCAGAGCTTTCTTGAACCTCTTCATGATATATCTTCGCATTGATTTCCATGATTTTATCGATAAAAATCAATGGAGGGTTCGCCCAAAGCACTGATACTGCTCCAAATCATCAAACTTCCAGCGAATGGAATTCTTGCAGGTATTTCCCAATTAAAAATGTTCCCAAGGGTTGAGCAAAAAAGTTGATGGTAATTTAGGAGTTTTTAGCTGCTTTAATGGGAGAGAATTTTTCGTCAAACCAGACCGACGACTCTCCACCTTCGCCGCGATGATCGAAACTAATCAGATCACAGGGGGGGGGGGGGGCAAAAAAGAGTCACTTTGCCTATGGCGCACATCATCAAATTTTTCTTCGCACAGAATGCCGCAGCTAATGAATGTTTTACGGCAGAATATTCCTTAGGTGTCCCCCCATAAGCAGAAGCAGCCCCTACTTCAATGCCCTCACGGTCTTCAGAATATGACGTCATCTGCCGTCGCCGTCAAGCTCAACGGGCTTACCGTAATCGCTCCGGCCTGAAGCTGCAACCTAATTTCTTCAATCGGTTAAGCGGTGAATAGCTTCCCAGAGACACTAGCTGTGACTGTGCAAGACCGCTTTTGACCGGCGTTTCAGGGACGTCGTAATGGTCTATGGTACCTCGACGACGTCGTTGAGCTCGTACCGTGAACCATGTTTCCGTGGAAAAATCTTCTGATGTCGTCTGTGTAGAAGGCTGTCATGTAAACTTTTGATAGACTTGAATGTGCTCTTTAATATGCAATTGGGCTCATTTGATTTGGTTTCGCAGTTCGAGATTAATTGCGTTTTGAATGTGGACAGAAGTGACTTTGCCCCCCCCCGCCCCCCTGTATATCATTACTGACAGCGGCCACTTTGATACTTTTTTTCATATATTGAATGATAGAGCTTGCTGTTTATGAAATCAATTTTCTTCAATTTTAATGGACCAGAAAAATGAAGTTTGGACATTTCTTATCGCCGCCACATAATTTTTCGCCACCCGTTTACATACATACAAGTTTAATAGGAGGAATATCACGAACAGAATGTCTTTCCTTGAGCATACGCAGATCATCAAGTAGAAATGCGTCATGATAAACATTTTGCTGCTCCTTATTGTTTTCATTTTCCAACATAAGCTAGGACTTGTTCCATAGAACAGCGGTTATGGGCAAAACGCTTCGCAATGGGCGGGACGACCGCGCGCACTTCTCTTATCCGTCCTTTCGACTGGCGTGATTGTAAAATCAAGGCAACAAACGAAACAAGCTACGGCGAACTGCCGATATAAATTCTGATCCACAAGTAGCTCCAGAAGGGAAAGAGAGGGCTGCAAGGACGACAACAATAAGAGACAGTGCGACTACCCTTTGATAAAAATTAGATTATGGCCGTCTTTCCCCCATGATCAAAACGATCCCCTTCTGGATCATTTACAATAAAATCTGTCGGTAAACCGACCAGTCCTAACAGAAGCTTCCAATTCATATACCTAAAGACTGCAGGCGAATGGGTTGGCTGAGATCCCCGATAAAAACGAGAAGAGCGTAGAGTGCAGACCACACACCACGAGTGACGGCAGCCAAGAAAAAAGTGGCATTTTCTTCAGTTTTTTCTTTGCCGTCGTAACTTCTGATGTGGTCTGCACTTGACGCGTTTTTCGTTTTTCGAAACAGAAGGTGTCTGTGACGAGAGAATTTTTACGTTATTGCCGTCACTTTCCTCATCTGTACACCGCTGCCTCGATCTACAATTTCTCCCACTCCCCAAACATCAAATGAAATCCCTTCCCACCATCAAAACAAATACAACTCCCTGTCGAGGATTCGTTTTCTTTGGTTTAGCACCTGCCCTCAACCTCGACGTAGAAAAGAATTCTTACTATCTAGGGTTGGAAAGTCGTGATGGAAGCCACCCACCAGGGTGAAAATCGCTTCAGGAAAAAGACAACGGCTCGTCGAGGATTTCTTTCACGCTCTCCCACGAGGATGCTCACTCTCGCCACCCGCGAGCCGTCTGTGCTCTCCGCGCATACATTCACTCTCGACACTACTCTCGCACAGCAGAGAGCCGATGGTCGAGGAATTCTCACCGTTATTCACCCGGCCACACCTTCTGTTGTCTAAGGTACAGCAATCAAGCAAACGTTCGAAACCAGGTTGAAGCTTTCACAACCATGCAGCCACATTATGCTGAGATAACCAAACCTAATTTACCTGTCTCAGGCTCACTAGCATTTGGTTCTTCGCGCGATACTTGTCCTCATCAACATATTCTTCTTGACGAACTGAAATGCCATGGGTACAATCTCCGAGATCTCCTTCAACTGAACATTTTAACAAACCTGGTGATGGCTCATGCTCCGCTTCACTAGGACGATACATTTCATCCTCTTCATCAGCTATTGATTCTTTCATGAACGACAACTGCTCTTCATACCACTGGCTGAGATTCGGCTTATTCACCATTTCAGGTATAGAGCGAATGTCAAACCCGCTCGATTTTTGACTCATACCACTCTGGTCCCATGGTGATCCGGTGCTGCTTACGGGAGACGTCTGATCTTCTCGGCGATCATTCACCGTCACAAACTGCTCTCTCTTGTTCTCCAGCTGCACCTGGAACTTGGAAGCCCTCATCTAAAAATGGTGCAGCATCTCCGACCTGCCCAGCTTGGTCTTCTGCCTCCGGCGTAATCCTATCGATTGAAGGTCGACTTTTCATTGATTGAGTTCACTGACCTTTCTCATGAAATGAAGAACAAACCTGGGCACTCCGGCTCCTCCTTCTCCCATGGCCATCTTGTTAATTCTGTCGATGTGGTCGAGCTCCTCTTGAGTAAGCCGTGCAGGTGTTTCGCGAGAAACAGGCGATGGCGGATGAACTTCTTGCCTCATTCCCAAGTCTCCAAGTGCCGTCCTAGCGTCTTCTTGCTTGTGCAAAACTCCTTGAAGGCTTGAGACCGAATCCGGTGAGAGTTTTAGTGGTGAATAACGAAGAACCTGAGGGTGATGTCGCCGCTTTGTACTTTTCAGCAGGTTCCGCTAGACTCTGATCTCGATGAATAGACTCCCTGGAACCACCTTGGAAGAATTCGCTACCGGATTCCTGTTCCATAGCCATTTGGGCTATTTTGTTAATATGATCCAACTCCTCCTGTGACCTGCAGCGTTGCATGTGCAGAAGCAGAAGTGGCGATAGAACTTCTGTTGGTTCCCTCCATTCCATGCGCGGCTATTTTGTTGATATGATCCAACTCTTCCTGAGTAAGCTCTGCAGGTTTCTCTTCCACCTGTTGTAGACCACTTTGTGGCCTGCTGTCTTCCTCCATGGCCATCTGGTTGATCCTGTTGATATGATCTAGTTCTTCTTGAGTAAGCTGCGGTTCTTTTTCTGTACTTACTGACTCGCCAGCCGTTTGTGGAGATGCTAACTCTTTTCAATGCGTATTCTCTCCCAAGAGCGAGTCTTTGCCTCCGCTTTTGCATGACGTCTTTGAACGTCGTGAATCCAAATCCAGTCAAGGGTTTCATGTTGAAGAGTGAAGAAGCGAAGGATGATCGCCGGCTAGATACTTCTTCTTCATCTTCGAAGTACCACTTCCATCTTCTTCAGCAACCCCTGCAGATCGGTCTTCCTCCTTGACTGATTCGAGGTCAAGCGAATCGAGCTCAGCGTGCTGAGAGGTCTCTTCGAGCGCTCACGTTCTTTTTGGATGGGTGGAGCCGTATCATCTCCGCGCTCTCGAGCGATAGATGGTCTTCCACTCTCTGGTCTTGATGGACCTTTGGACATCGTGCTTGAGGCTGCTTCCCCAATCGCATCTTTGACTTCTCCAACCTTATGCATCACATCCTAAATATGAAGCGAGATGCGATTAAGGCCTTTGATTGGTTGCTCTGTTGGAGATATTCGGCGCTCTTGCCCTGATCTGACATCACGATGAGCGTCCAGCTCGGGCTCGTAGTCTACAGCTTCCTGGCCAATCGATATACGATCTTCGTCGTCAGCTATGGGTTCCGCAGACCCTACAGAACGCTAGCCGTCCCGACCTCATGTTGCTGTAAGTCCTTCATTCCTTCGGTTCATGTGTGAATTCGCCTACCTTCAAAAAGCCGCTTTCGCTTCTTCTGCTTTCTGCATCACACCTTTGAATGCCTTCATACCGAATCCACCCAGAGCTTTGGTGCCAAACAGAGGACCTGAGGAACGGCGCGAGGTTGGTGAGAGTTCTTCCTTTGATTCGACCATAGTCGAAGAGAGAGGAGGGCGCTGGGTAGAAGCCTTCGTCCGATTCCATTCTACCGTCTTCCATTGCCAGCTGAGCGATCCTGTTGATGTGGTCAAGCTCTTCCTGTGTGAGCTGAGCGGGTGGTTGTTGGGGAGTTTGAGGCAATTGACGAACTCCCAACTTGTTTTCGTCTTCCGTCGCCATCTGTGCGATTCGATTAATGTGGTCCAACTCCTCCTGGGTAAGTTCAGAAGGTCCGGGTGGGGGTATCAAAGGCTGCAAATGGACTTCTTGTTTTTGTTCCTCTTCCATGGCTATTTGATTGATTCTATTGATATGGTCGAGCTCCTCCTGAGTTAGCTGGGAAGCTCTCTCCTTCAGAAACGGCTGATGGAGGTTGCTGAACGTCTTGTTTTGTTGTCAAGTCTTCCAATGCCGTTCGAGCGCCTTCTGCTTTCTGCATAACTCCTTTGAAAGCTTTGAGGCCAAACCCTGTCAACGATTTAGTACTGAATATTGAAGAGTCAAGAATGGGTGAAGCCGGTTGTTGTTCTCCAGCAGACCCTTCTGAGGGCGAAGTTGGTGTATGGGACTCCGTAGATTGTTCGTCTGATACTTCTTCGCTCATCAACGATTCGTCATAGGGGGACTCCTCACTATCTTCACGCCGAACTACTGGCGCACTATCCTCTTGCATTGCCATCTGAGTAATTCTGTTGATGTGGTCCAACTCTTCCTGCGTTAGGTCTGTAGGTCCACCAGGAACAGCAGTGATTGATAGACGACCCTGTTGCGCAGCATCTTCTTGCAGCGCCATCTGGTTGATTCTATTGATATGGTCAAGCTCCTCCTTGGGTAAGGCCGACCGGTTCTTCCTTTGGTTGAGGAAGAGGAGAGCGAACTTCTGGTCTCACCGTCAAATCTTCAAATGCTGTTCGAGCTTCCTCAGCTTTTTGCATCACACCTTTGAAAGCTTTCATACCGAATCCGGTGAAAGCTTTCTTATCGAATATCGGCACTGAAGAGCGAGGTGAGGCGGGCGCGACCTCCTCTCTTGGTTCCTCTAGTGCACGAGGCTCTGGC